CTGTCGAAAGATGCACATAATATAGGAACTTCTTCTGTTGGTTTTTCGTTGTAAATACCCCATTTCACAAATACACCATCAATTTCATCGTTTACTAAACATACATCACCGGTAGCCAGTAATTTTAATAAAGCCAACCCATTAGGACTATTCGTTATACTATTTCGTGGTTGTGTATTATCTCCATCAGATGGTATACTTTTTATATAATCATTTCTGAAAACTTTTGCGACTTTTGTGGCTGCTGTCATTAAATATTTTAAATTGGGCGATTTTCCACAACCTATAGAAAAATAGAATTAATTGAATGAGAGAATTTGCAAGTAATAATAACAATGGGTTGGCTTTATTTAATGACTTTATTAATGATTCAAAGTGTTAGAATGTTCATAACAATCAGAAACATACAAATCTTACTTTCTTGAAAACGAGAAAAAAATCTTGTGCGATAAGTTTAAAAAGTTATTTATCTTTTTCTATGTTTCATCTACTATAAAAACTTCAAGTTTATATTTTTATAGAATCTACAGTAAATCAAAAGAATAATGTAGGGAAGGAAATACCGCTTAGCACAAAAATATTACATAATATACCTGGTGGTCCAATTACCATACTGTATAAATTTAATGGTTTTAATTGCTTAAACATAGATAAATATGTCGATGATTGAGCAAAACGTGATAGTAATGGCAACATCACATAGAAAAGAATATCTGTATTAGCACCAACTTCTTTATAACGATTAAAAATAGCCATTTCATTACTATTCAATATTATTTGCAAATCGAATTTAATTTGTGCTGCAGCTTTTATATTTTCTTGTAGTATTTTGCCATATTTTTCATCCCCTTTAACCGGCATATCTTTGTTTTCAAGACAGTGTAAGTAATATCTAAAACAAAACAGCGATATGGCAATGTATCTATGCCAAGGCAGCGAAAGATGCAATATGTTATCTGTAACGGGCTACATCTGCCTTAATGGTTCTGTTATGTTCCGAAACTCAATTCACGAAGACTTCGAACCATATAGACTTAATACATCATCCGCTATTTTTACTAAATGTGCATTATGAAGAATACAAATCTCTCCTCCTCCTTACTGCATTTTAATAATCGTTCTGTCCATCTTTCCTCATCTTTAATCCCCCCGCTCACAACCGTTTCTTTGTGTTGTGGACAAGCCAATCATAAGAGAGCGCATAAACGTTATTTTTACAAACATGTCGCAGACATGTAGAAGCCGACTAAAGGGCGAACATCGTCTACAAATACGTAAAACATACTAGAAATAATAAAAACTGAACTCAATGGAGGGCGTCACTTTACGATGTGAGATAAAGCAAGTGCACGATGTGACATATGACGCTATTTATTTACGGAAAAGCAAAGTAGCCTAATCTGAAGTGAAAGCAGACCTGAATAACTGAAAATAGGTAGATACCGCTAAAATAAATGTCCTCTATTTTATTTCTCATACTCAAAGGAAATGTTTATTCAAAACAGAGTTATACCAATACGATAATTGTGTGATGTCCGTTTATCAAATTATCTGCAGAACAGCTGCAAACAACAGTTGGACAATGATGATCCAGTTTTCTCTCATCATTGTAATGGAAGTTCCTGCGACGACTTTTCATGCTTTCGCCATCACTTCTTCTGTCGTACAGCTAGCCCCCATACACCAGTGAAGCAAGTAAAGCACTTCCATACACACAAACCATCTAAAGTCGTGGTAGGAACTTCTGTTACAGTGATGAGAGAAAACCGGATCATCATTGTCTAACTGCTATTTCCAGCTGTTTTTGGCTTCACAAAAGGACATCACACAATTATCGTATCGGCATAACTCTGTTTGGATAAGTATTTCCCTTAAGTAAAAGAAAAAAACAGAGGACACTTATTTTAGCGGTATCTACCTACTAGAATTCATGTCCCCTTTCACCTCAGACTACGGTACAGTTAGCTCACATATACCAATGAAGTAAGTAAAGCACTACTATACACACAAACACTCGTTAAGGGGTCCCCCCTTCAGAAATTATCTCCGACACCGTACATCGAATCTTGGCGAAACTTTTCATAAATGTTAGGCACAATGAGTTACGAGAATGAAAAAAGTTTTTTGTCTCTAAGTCTTACCGTTCAAGAGTTTTCCAGAGATCAAGGTTTAAAAAGAACCCTGAAGTGTGTCCCAAGATTTTTTAATATACTTCAAGCTGCAGAGTTCGGGTTTGTTTTGTTTTAAACCAGACGCCTAACTACATGGACTGACACGAGCCGACTTTTTAATTAAGCCTTTATTAGTTTTCCAGGTAACCAACAACCTCCATAACCCCAAAAAGCCATCCGGATTTTCTAAAAATCTTCTATTTGATAAAAAACTAGGACCTAATTCGAAAATCGGCGATTGTCAGTCGATGTAGTTTCTTTTCCTCTTTTAAGCAAAAACAGAATGAACTCTCTACGACAAACCACTATTAAAAATCTTGGGGCACACTTCAGCTATAACTTTCATGTAGAGAAAACGCTGTACAAAATGCTCAGTTTAGGACTTCTAGGTAAATACTTGTAACTTTTTGATGCAAGGTCATACAGAGTTGTGCGACGTCTTATTTTGATCAGAAACGTTTGATCTACAAATCTCTCTGTTCAGGAAAATTTTAATTGCACAAGTATCCATGAAAAAACTATTATTTGAAGACCGGTCTTTCAAGGTTGTCGGAAAACTTGCTCAAAATCCCCGAAAAACTAGTTCTGTAACCAAACGCAATACAGCTTCTGAAAGTAGACACATCAGGTTATATTTCCATGTGCTTATCTCAAAACCGATTTACGGAATAGTACCAGGTAGTACTAGGTAGTACTGAGTTACTGAGTACTACTTGGTAGTACTAGGTAGTACTGGGTAGTACCGAGTTACGGAGGAGCGCTAGGTAGTACTAGGTAGTACTGAGTTACTGAGTAGTACTGGGTAGTACTAGGTAGTACTGGGTTACTGAGTGAGCACTAGGTAGTACCGAGTTACGGAGGAGCGCTAGGCAGTACTAGGTAGTACTGAGTTACTGAGTACTACTTGGTAGTACTAGGTAGTACTAGGTAGTAGTGAGTAGTAATGGGTAGTAGTATGAAGTAATAGTAGTTATAGGCATTACATAAATAGACATTTGTATCAAAGTCATATTATCTGCAATTTTCAACTTTGTTGCAAGGTCGAATTCTCCATCCTGTGACGAACCCTTTTTAACCGTTTATGATCCCTCCATAAAACTATTCAGGAACCATTCTATATACCCCAAAATACGCATTTTGAAAGGTTTTTTGGAGGGTTTCTGTATTCGTTTGTTATGTTAAAAAATCCAAGGAAATTCACTTTTCGTTTTATGTTTACAGAGTCGTGCATACTTATATTTTCAGGAAAAATATTCATAATGAAATGGCTAAAACGCATGAGTCAAAGCGCACACCGATTGGTATTATAGT